TGGAGGCGGCTTTTCCAGCTGACGGCGCCTCCCAGGAATTTGAAAATGTAACCCGTTGTTGATCGTCGGTTATCTTTGTTGCCAGCCCAGTCAGCATCAGAAAATCCATACGGGCAATTCCAAGATTGATTGCCTGATAGTCCTCCATCTCCTGCATTGTACTCAATGAATAAATGAGTAGTTCCACGTAAATAACGAAGGACATGTACAAAAGCATTCCAATGCGCCCGAGATGGTCAATCAAGGTGTTGTGATAATACACCAACAGCATATGCTAAGTCGGGGCGGGTGCATTGAGATAAATACATTAACGAACCAACTCCGTTTCGATAAGGTAAGTTTTGAGTTGCGAATTCGGTCATTTCTGAATCGGTGGCGCGTGTGAGCTTAAGGTCGGCGACAAGGGGAGTACTGGCCGGTTTACAGTGAGTCATTCCGAAGCGTTCGAGTACACTTTCGATCATTGCAGGCTGACCTATGGCGTAAGAGAAGTCTGATGTCCTTGAAATTTGAATACCAACAATACAATGAGAGATGCCAAGGTCCTCCATGTCCCAACGACTTGCGATCAGCTTCTTGATGTGGGCGATTTCATTACCGGTGATTGCCATATCATCTACGTGAATGTACATGGCCGAAAATTTAGTTCCATCTTGAGTGATACGTATAAATAAACAAGCGTCTGCCTCCGATTGTCTAAAACCAATAGATAAGAGGTAATCAGTCACATCGTTGCTCCAGTATTTAGCCGACTGCTTCAGTCCATAGATGGTGCTTAGGAGGCATGCGACCATGTCATCACCGTATATCTCTTTCAGGTTGTCTGGAAGTTCCATATAAATTTCATAATCTAACCGATTGTTGAGAAACGCGCAAATGGCGTCCATCGATTCGACAGGCCATCCATTCAATGCAGCGGTGGCAATAAGAAGTCGTAGAGATGCTGGTTTTCCGGTGGGTGAATAGGTTTCATGGTAATCTACACCAGGCACTTGTGAGAAACCCTTCGCAACATACCTGGCCTTGTATTTGGCAATAGACCCATCAAGGTTTGGTTTAACCTTAAAAACCCATCGGCCTCCTACAACAGTCCGATTCTTTGGGCGACGGACAATAGTCCATACCTTCCTTTTGTCAATTGATGCTAGTTCTTTGTTCATGGCAGCTAGCCATTCGTCTTTTTGAGCTGATTTCATTGCTTGTTTGTAAGTTCTTGGCTCGTCGACTAATCGGACAGTTGGTGTAGTTGCAAAAGCATATGCGTCAACATCATCGCTAGCAATAAAAGTGTTGATGTCCGCCCAGAAGGTGTTATTCGAAGATGGTGTGTACCGATCGGGTGCTTTTCTATCCCTTGTAGATTTTCGGATAGTCGGTTCGTTGTTGGTAGGTTGTTCCGCATCTTTTACATTCTCCGAAGGAGGTTCAGACTCCACGGGTGTTTCAGATGGGATAGAGTGAGGCACTGGGACAATATCAGCAACATCTTTTGGAGGTTCAGACTCCAAATTGATGACTGGATTTATGTCAGGCCGAGGATTATGAAGGAAAGGATAGTCGTCGTCTTCAAGGTTTATTACGGGTTCTAACCCTGGATTTGACTCTTCAAGTTCATTTAATTCTTTCTTAGAGAATAAGTGATCATACTGAAATTTGATTGATTTTCTAAAAGGGAAAAAATCTTCACGGAATTTGACATCGTGGGAGGTAATAATCTTCTTTGATTCGAGATCGTATAGGCGGTAGTTAAAGTTGTCTGTTGCAAATCCAAGTAGTACGGCAGTTCGAGTGACAGCGTGAAATTTGCCATCTCGTTGACTCTTCCTGACGATGTATTCTACCCCACAACCAAACGTTCGGATATGAGAGACAGAGGGTTTTCTTCCATACCATCCTTCAAAAGGCGTCATTAGTCCTTTGTTGTATGCCACAGAAACAGTGCGATTATCAAGGTAAACGGTTGTGTTAACAGCTTCGAAGCAAAAGCTGGGTGGGACGTTAGAATGTTGAAGTAGTGCCCTTGCTTTGTAAGTAATAGTTTTGTTCGAACGTTCAGCAACACCGTTTTCTTCGGGTGTGTAAGCAGCGGTTTCATGTAGCCAGATGCCTTGTTCTTTACAGTAAGGTACGAAAAGAGAATTAAAAAATTCAGAACCCTGATCTAAGGTGAAACATTTTACTTTTCGTTCGCTTTGGCGCTCGGCAAATGAAATGAATGCACATAGTGCGTTGAAAACTGATGTCTTGTCTTTTGATTTCAGGAAGTACACAAAACGCATCCCAGTTAAATCGTCGGTAAAAAGAATATAGTATAAGAAACCACTGTTTACATATCCTCTGACAATTCCACTTAAGTCTACATGAACATTGTCTAATTTATTTTCAGCACGAGGTCGAGTATTGGAGAAAGGGGGTCGTTCACTCTTTGACTTGATACAAGCAATACATTCAACAGGTTTGGAAAAATCAAAGTTCTCAGAAACCCCTTCGATCATCTTATCCTTAATCATTTTTCGGAGGTAGGCGAAATTCGGGTGACCTAACCGATTGTGAAGATTGAGTAAAGTGTCAGATTGAATGGTTGAGATTGAAGATGATTGCTGAGAGGGAATTTGACGTACAGGGCATTCGATCAGCTTGACTATCATGAGGTTGCCTGAAAAGAATCCCCGGAAGAGTGTCTTCTTGCCGAGAATCAAACTGAAGATATGAGATTTAATTGGATCGATGGAAGGGACAACTCCTTTCTTGATAAGAGCTCCAGCAGCAATCAAGTTCTTGTTGAGATGAGGAACGTATAGTGAGTTTTCAAATTTCATTACGTTTCCGTCAACATCCAATAAGTACGCAGTTCCGATCTTTTGAATTTCAAGTGTATCATTACCACCAGCTAAATTGAGCCTTTTGCTGGGATCGGGATTTGGAGTTAAGGAGTTTCGATCAAAATGTTTCAAGTTATTAAACATGTGATGTGACGATCCCGTGTCAGCTAGTCCGAAAGAATTGCTAGGAACTTTGGCTTGTACGGCTTTGTTGCTGCAGAAGTAGTCGATATGAAATACAGTTGGTTGGCTATCATCAGTCAAGACGTTCATCGAGTTCATGGCGTCGGTCAATTCATCAAGCTCATGATCGTTATCAGTTTCTTGTTCGACATTCGATGAGTTTCGATGTTGAAATGTCTTTGACTTGCTATTCGATCGTAAGTGGTTTGGAACTTGACCTCTCCATCTGCCTTTCTTGATTAACTCTTGTTGCCATCTGATCTTCTTCTCATGATTCTTGGGATTTTCAAAACAGTTGTCTTTGCCATATCTACATACACACCGATCAGCTGTACATTTAGGTCGAGTAGATTGAGTGACACGATTGTTGTTGTTGCGATTGACTGAATGAGCTCCTGGTATAAATGATTGATTCTTGTATAAGCTCGAAAATTGCGGTAAGTTTCGAATCTCTTTCTCTTTCTTCAGTATATATTGTTCAACTCCATCATATGTTAAAGGGTTCACCATATCAAAGACGTTAGATAAGATGAATTGATTGTTATGATGAAGAGATTTAATAAGTCTTCTTGCCAGTTGCCCATCATTAAGATCTCCTCCTGCTAACATTAATTCATCTTTCAATTCTCTAAATTTCGCTAAGTGAGCTTCTAAAGTTGTGCGATTATCTTGGCGGAATTCATCTAATTCATTGTCAAGTTGAAATCGGGCAGCTTCTGATACTGGAGCTTTATTCTCTCTAACAATCTTCCATAATTTTGACGGTTCATATTCAATATCCACTTCCCCATCAACTTTAATTTGAAGTTTGGATTCAACAAAGGCTGAAGTAGAGGGGTCCATCCGATTGATCAAGAAATTCGTAAGACATTCCTTGTTAGCGAGATGTTCTTCAACAGTTATGTCGTCGGGTTGATTGGCTGAGGTAAGATATTGATCAAGGCATAGATGCCTCAGAGATCGTTTGATTCCAATGGCCCAATGAGTGTAGTTATTCTTTCCAAGAATAACAGTGGCTGATATTTTACTTAAGTTGAAATTTAGGGCGATTGCGAATTCTTTTTGAGTAGTGGGTATGGTTTGATTAGATGGAGTAGTCATGATGGCAGGTGGTTTGTTTTGAACAGTGTGATTCGAATTGAAAGACTTTTCAGAAGAGCTCGATGGGGAATTTTCTCGATTATCAAGATCAGTTAGAAGATCGTCGGTGGGATCGGCAGAAGAGTTTGTAGGTGAAGGTGCGTCGACTGGTGAGGACATATAAGAGGGTTATGAATCGAGTTATTCTCTCGCTACCATGAGAGAATCTATATAAACTCGAGACTCCTTATAAAGGAAGTCTTATAACACCAGAAATCGGGTGTAAGTCTTTTATGGCTCTGAACACCAAAGACTATAACAAGAACACACCTTATAACACCAGAAATCAGGTGTAAGTCTTTTATGGCTCTGAACACCAAAGACTATAACAAGAACACACCTAAATAGGTGGAAAGAAACAAGAACAGGAAGTCTAGACAACATGGTTATAGTAGAAATGAAGTCAACAACAGTTATTCGGATTTGAGTATGATGTGAGAAGAGAAAGACTCACACGCCAGTTTTCCTCAGTGAACTGATGAGGAAAACGTGGCGCGGTTGGTGGCGTTAGTTTCTATTTATATGTGATACTATGATGATAATTAAAGTTAGGTTTGGTTTCAGGTCATGTATTGTATTGGTTGAATTGTACCGTGTTGATTGAACTGTACCGAGTTGGTTGTCGTGTTTGAAATGATAACTGTATTCTTACACAATCCTTAAAACCTATAAGTAGAAAAAATACAATGAAGTACAAAATCTCAAGACAAACACATCAAGCATCATATAAAAAAATCCATACAGAAGGCGTCATTTTTTTTGTAATTCTGTCAACTTAATTCTTTCAATCAAAACCCAAAGAAAAAAAGAGATGAAAATAATAAAAGAATAAACAAAGATTGATTGATTGATTGATTAGCTTCCATTTCCATTTGTCGAATTTAATAATCCAGCTGATTTTAACATTTCTTCATAACAATTAGCTCTTGCAGATTCCATTTCTAATTTCCGTTTAGTAGACCTAAAGAAAGAAAAGAAAAAATAAATCAATCAAACGTTTCCATAGAAACACACAAAAAATCAATCCAACCCAACCAAAACCAAGAAAAAAAAAGACTGACCCTAATTGAGTGACTAATCTACCTTTTTCTTCTGCCATTTTTTTCAAATCTTCTACAATCGCTTCAAAAGCTTGACCAACAGGTAATTGAATATCATTATACATTTTATCTAATTCTTCATTAAAGGCTTCATATAAATGACAATTTTCAACTTCCAAAGAATTATGTAATGATTGAATTAACTTAGATGAAGTTTCAGATTGAATCAATTCATTTTTAGTTTTGGTCAATTCGATTTGTGACTATTTGAAAAAAGGGAAGAAAACATTAGAACAATCCTTGACCAGATTCTTTGGAGGATGAAAGAAAAGTGAGCAACAAACTGATTGAAAGATTTCTTGATATTCCTGTATTAATCCTCTCATTTCTTCTATCTGATTGGTTCCAATCTTTAACGAATCTTCCATTCCATCTAAACCTTTTTTAATTCCACTCATACAATCTTCTTTAGTAGCCATCGGTTGTGATACTAATGCCATCAACTATTACAAAGATAAACCTAAGATTAGTGAAGAGATCTTACATGGTCAATCAAAAAAAAGTCAAACTGAACTTGTGCTTTTCGTGGTGAGCGTGGTATTGTACTCGTATTACTCTCATTGATATTCATATTAAGACTCTTCAATCGTGACAGATAACCTTTCATTTCTTTGATTTTACCATGCATGTTCCTGAACTGAACAATATTATACCCCACACCGGAAAATGAAGATCATTAGTACAACGTACAAAAACCATCATGTAGAGAATCTAACACACCAGATCTTCGGTCCCATCTACATCTTCCAATATGACTTCTTTCAAATCTTCAATATCCATCTTCTCATTCTCTTTATTCCTCCTCCTTCTCACAAGTACTTTCCTTTCTTCTCTCCTACGCTCAGCACTAGGACTTCTCTGTTCAACCTTCTTTAAGTGATTCCGGATCGATAAGATGGGTGAAATGCCCGGTAGTTCTTCTTCTCTCTTCCTCTCCATACCTGCTACTCTTTTAATTGTTTGTGTCACTTCTTCTTCTCCAACATCTTCACCTTGATAAACATTCAAAGAAGAAATATCATCCATTGATCTAGTTCTCTTCCCAATACTCGATGCCGATACATTTCTTGATTGTACCCGTGAGACTATTTGTCTAGGACCACGTAACTTCCTAGGGGTCTCAATCTCTTCATCTTCATCTTCGTCATCTTCTCTTCCTCCACAAGAAGAACTTAGTCCACTAACACTCGATCCATCATCTGATCCGTTTCCTTCTTCCTCTTCCTCTTCCTCTTCTCCTTCTTCATCTTCTTCCACTACTCCACACCTTCTTTCTGTTTCGTCTCTCAACGCAAGACTTCTCTGTTTTCCTTTGATCGTACTTCGAGAGGGGCTGGGAGGATCTCCCTGGAAGTCGCTTCCTTCTCCTTGTTCTTCATACAATGATGGATTTGAGTCACTCTTTTTCATTTTCTCTCCTACAATCGTATATTCTTGATCATCCTCTGGCATCACGTCCATTTCTCCTTTGTTATGTAGAAACCAAACCGGTCCCCCCGGTGACTTGACGGCTGCGTTAGGAAAATCAGGTATTGTAGGTACAGCAGGTACTTTGGATGATGTAGGTCGGGTGGTCACTGATCTTGTGCGAGTGAGCGGGGCATTCGGATTTCCGAACAAGCGTTGCGCTCCGGTATTGCTATTGACACTTGTTGCCGTGCTACTACTGGCTGCTCGGGATCGGAAACCTCGAGAAGGTGATGAAACCGAAGCTGGACGATTTGTAGAGGATGAATAGGGACGACTGGGAATATCGGCCATTTTGTAAAGTTCGACTACCAAGAGATAAGACAAGATAAGTTTCACAGCTATAGGGCAGAAGGGAAAGAGCTAAATCCGGAGAGAATGAAGAGAAAATGGGATTTAACTGATTCGAATGACAAGACTGCTCAATGCCTCTGTTTTGAGGACGACGCTTTCTTGGTCGTTGGTGGCATCGGACACCTCAAACTCGTAACCTGGTTTTGTTCTTAGGCTTACAACACAATCTGGATCATCCGGGTCATTGAAGCTCGCTCGAATGATGACCATAGGTGGAAGAGCCAGATCAGGCTCGGGATTAAATGGAAGTGGATCAACTGAATCAGTTCCGACCAATTGAAGCACAACTCGATGCTATGGAAAAACAAACGACGATGGAGTCAGTGGAAAAGAACATAAATGAAGAGAGTTATAGGTCGACTGACTTTTCGTTGCTCTGACATGTATGTCCGCTTGTCATAAAGATTCCAATAATTTTCAATTGTCCCATGTCCTTCAGGTTCAGATAAGAATTTAGTACGCATGACTGTTGATCTATCTTCGACTGCCTTTACCAATGCTTGGGCTTTGCGTAAGTTGCCCAAAAATCGGTCTCGTTCGGCGAGACATGCGAGCTGAGAGGTGTGATGAGTCCTGGATGATAGACTATGACTATGATGATGAGATGCACCAAGTACATGGGATGAAGGTGGGTGAAAAGAGAGTGAATGACTCTTTTCATGAGCAGGTGAGGAGGGCGCGCAGACGAGATAGTGTCGCAAAGGACGATCGGACCATCGATCTGAGACATCTTGCGGCGGGCGCGTGAGGAAAAGATCAAACCCAACCTCCCCACCTGGTCCACCACCACCGATCCCATTTGATGCGATCACATCATGCACATCGATCAAACCCTTGAACCGCATGCTACCCTTTCTGAGCTTGCTGGGGGTACCATGATGATTAGAGCCACCCAATGATTTGGCAAGGAAATCAGTACCACCGCTTACCACTGAATTCAAAGATGAAGGCGCCTTTGATTTCTTCATGGCTACTGTTAACCGATCCAAGTCATCTAAGCCGGCTAGAATCCGACCACTGAGACTGTTATGTGGTTTCTTCGCAATCACGATGGTATCATTGAATAGGAAGAGAGTGCAATGTAGGACGGTAGAAGTCGTAGCATCGGCAAAGACATCGAGAACGTCGATGGAATCAATAAAGTGTCGACCAGGTTTGACAAGGATTGCAGGGAAATGATCGATTGCGCGAGAGAGACCCCACATCGTGGCTGCCTTGATAAGGTGATCATCCAGCTCACAGATCGCAAGGCGATTACAAGTTGTGATGGAATCCAAAAGACCTGATCGGGATGGATCACCTGATGACATTTTCTTCAATATCTCTGTTTAGATTTGAAACAAAAATGGAAGTATCCAAGGGTAAGAGATCATCCAACACTAAACTGGTATTTGAAATTCTTTTTGAGCGCTTCAAGGATGATTGTGATAAAGTAAATCACATACGCTCGAATATCAAGATGTATCTCGTGACTCTTTGAACTGGTTCCATCAAAAGTTCTCGAAGGCCTACTCGACCCATTCCTTCATCGTACATGGCTTCCTTTGTCCTCTCACAGAATTGACGGAATCCATCAGTTCTTTTGAGCTTCTGTTCGGTTTCTTTGATTGTATCATAACTACCTAGATAGTCACGATAAGGACGTTGAATATGAAGTAATTCGGACGCTATCTCTTCTGACCAGCTGTGCTGAGCAGTTGCAGGATCAGCTTTTTGTAGGATTTCAAGAGATCGTTCCAGTACAGCGAGTAAGTTGGTACTGGCTTTCACTAAGGATTCGATTTTTCCAAACATGGTTGTTGCTTCATATTTTTCGATGATCTTGGTGTGCTTTGCACTTGAAAATTGACGTAGAGGAACTCCATATGACTGATTGAGAGCAGTGATTCGTCTGAGATATGTTCGTTCGGTGATCACTAATTCGGTAAAGAGGGCTAGGATAGCCTTGTGGTCAGTCTCGGGACGCGAGGTTGCCTGAAGATGATAGGATGATCAAAAATCAACGTCTTGAAAGTGAACTATCTAGAAGGTTTTGAAGGATACGAACATGATTAAGAGCAGCTGTAAGAGATTTGGTGTGAGGAAATGGTGTGCTTGATGAACCTGGTTGTTGAGTGGGTACGAATGGATCGAGACGATCACCTAATGAACGCAAAAAGGTGACGAGTTCTGAAGTGTAATGAGAAGGAAGAAAAAGAAAGGTGAGTGTATGCGTCCAAGATTAGGTCAAGCGTTTCAAGCATTCAACTAAACAAACTCACCAGGAGGAACCTGCCATCCTTCACCAGGATCGGTACCACCGCCCATACCTTCGACCACCACATCGACCAAAGTAGATTTAGTTGTAGTAGGAGGATGATTACCAATAGGAATCAAAGGATTTAATTTAGATAAAGCTAAGAGTGAAGGTTTAGATTGAGTAGTTTGAATTGAATTGATAGATGGAAAATGAGATAGATTGGGAGTCGAAGCAGCAAAGCTTGAGATTGGAATTCTTCTCCTACTTTGATAAGGTGAGACGGGTTGACGATGATAATCCATTGAGAATGTCGAGATATCGAAATCGACAGAATGAATGAATGAAAATGAACCACTCAAACAATCAAGAGCAGCTTCAAAGTAACTGGACTGATAGTAATACCCGAATCGAATCAGAGCCGGTACCGAGTTCAATAATTATTCGAGTGGCACTGGCACTGGCACTTCACTTGAAGTTGAGGGAGAAGAGGAAGACTTCTCTTTGAAAGGCCATTTAACCTACTATTGATGATTTGATTCAGGTTTGGAAAATTCGAGTTCTGGAGAATTTACAAGCGAACGCGGCATACATCGTACATCCCTCACAAAAGACTCCTTTTGATAAAGGAAGATCTGCTTAGACATTGAATGGGCCGGGGAAACACCTTCCATTTCTTCAACTTATTTCCTCTCAGCATGAACGGATCTAAACAGGAAATCTGAGGGAAATGAAATGGGAGTTTTTCGTTTGAGTAGTTACTCTTCCACCCCTTTAAGCTCTGTCATCATCGAATTATAGGAGAAGATTTCTTGGGGACTCGGAGTAGAAGTTTATGAGCTGCCCTCGGCGACATGCAAAAACAGACCTGTCCCGAGCCAGAGGTATATTTGCTTTAGAAAGCGGGATTAGAGGAAATCTTATAATTCCCTATATAAATATAAGATAGGCCTTGTTAAATAGCAAACCTTTCAAAGGATGGGTCTACATTGCGCGGCCGCAGCCTTTTTCGAGGGTGCGGACGCGGTTTGTTAAGCTCAGCTCTACACAAAGCATCGAGGATTCTGACTTCATCTATCCGATTCTCGGGTGATGAGATGATTGTAGAGTGACAAAGCCCGCTTAGTCAAGCTAAGTGATACATTCTTCTGTAGAACTTGAAAGAATCCTGCACAACCGAAAATTTGATTTGCTCAAACACCCAAACTGGAGCCTAAATCTTTCGAACTCCGTGTTCCTATTTTGAGGAATCTGTTGTAAGCTTCACTGAAGCCCTAAAAGCCTAGAACACTCTTCCGTCTCACCTTCGTCATTTGGAACTCCGTATTTTGTGCTGAAGTGTAGTGAATCTGCGGATTACCTGGCGCGTCTCGCGACTCGCAGGATCAGGAATTCCTGATGTTTGATTGTGATCAAACCTCATATGACCCACCAGTTTTGTATCATCAATGAGTATGTCGACATGTGGCGCATTCTTGACAAGCTTAGGTGTAACAGAAAGAGCGCGTTCGGCATCTGGAGCACCGAGTTTGAGATCACACAGCATGCCCGGCCCGTTCCCGTGTGATCTATAGATAATTTATTGCGACTTTACTTAGGTTGTGGAGTATTTTGAAGCGTTTGATGGTCAGACTCAGATTTGCTTTCCTTTACTATGCTGTGTTCTTGTCGAATAATTAGTATTGATTAAGTGATACCTTCTCCAAAAAGTATTTCGTGATTGTTGGAACAAATTCCCCGTAGATTGGACCGAGCCTTGGTTGGTAAATCTGAGTAAAGAAGGCTGTCTTGCGGTGTATATGTTTCCTCGATTTGTTTGATGTTTTGAATACTACACAATAGCATAGCAATTCACAGCTAGTATTTATCTTGTACCCAGAGTCAGATATATGCAAGTATCTCATTAAACTGATTTGATCTGCTTCAGGCGGAGCAAAACACATCCCAGTGATTCAATATCAAGGAGTTTGTCGCACATTTCTTCAAAATTTACGCTTTACCAATCTTGAGGCGCATTGTGCGATGTGATACATATTTCTAACACCTCGCATGAGAATAAAGAAACTTGCTAGAGTGGTTGATTGCGGGGATGTGATCAATGATCATGTGTGTAAACACAGCCTCAACACAGCGGAAGTAAGAACACCGGGACTCGGCGGCAGGTGGACTTTGACAGATTCATGAACGAGGTGAGAAAGAGACACCGAAAGAGATCACATATTTAAATGGTGTTCTTTACGAGGGATTGCAACGACTACCGTTATCCGTTCGAGCGTCGCACCTCTGGCCGTTCTTTTCCCTCACGAGCTCTACAGACTTTCACCTATTTTCGAACGTCCCTCAAGTCTGATTTGCCCTGGCACTTTCAACGCAAGCTTGAAAACTCCGAGTAACGCTTCCGCATCTGTCCACATCGTACATTCAAACTTACACTTCAAAGAATGTTACTTGACTCGTTGCTGAAGACATTTTGGCAGCCAGAAGAAGTGATATCATGTCAAGCGCCCTCTTTCTATGGCATCGTAGTTCGATTAATCCCACTATGGATTCAATGTTCTCTGTTACACCCGCATTTTTGTAAATCTTCGATATCACGCTGGATCAGGTTATTACTCACTCCCTTGAACGTGTGCATCTTGATCACGATACCTATCGATTACTGTTTTTTACCTTTGACGAAGAGCGGAGTGTCGAATTTAGCATTGGCTGTTTGGGGCTTCCATCTTGCTACGAAATCTCTCGAGTGGGGTATCACCAACGGATACTGGGCTGGAAAATATTGGAATAAACCTACTTCGGACTCCTCACCGACGCCTACACCATCAGCACCAGGCGCGTCTACGGAAGCGAACAGTTGGACTGAAATCGCTTCATGGACCACGCGACAATTTTTTTCGTGAGTTTTTCGAAATCGTTTTTACTTCTTGCTACATTGCATATTTGTTAACTTTTTCGTCGCGGTCATTTCCTAAATCCAAAGCTACCGAGGCTACCAGTATGGTTGGGGAATAAAACTTCAGCACAAGGTTCCAACCGTGTTTGACTTGATTCAAAGGTTGATTGTTGACAACTGCGTGCGAGCCATTTCAATCGCATTTATAATGACGGCACGAGACAAAGGCTCTCCCAATCAAGTTTTGGCTATCATTGGCTTACCAGACTTTCCTTTGCGATCATTACTGGCTGAAGGTTTATCAACACTGTCTTTTGGATTTCTCTTGATATGCGGTGTAGAGGCCCTATTCTGCCGGTACGGCTTGATCTGCCACCTAGTTCATTGGATTGGAGGCTTTGTGCAAATACCTAAATTGATCTTGGACTTGTGCGATCCGAGCCGTTTTCAACACGCCTTTAACTCTCCTCACACGTCCACTTCCCTGAGCTGGTTCTGGGGAAAGGCATGGCATCAATTCTTTAGAAGAGACTTCTTGATGTGCGGTGGTGTCCCTGCAAGCGCTCTGGCCAAAAAGCTTGGTGGTGGATTGAAGGTTCAAAGGATCTGCGGACTTTTTGGTTGCTTTTTTATTAGCGGTGTAATGCATGAATTCAGTAAGGAGAATTAATCTTCTCAGAATCCACTGCGATGATATACTGACTCTGCCCATTTCATCTTTGAAATGATTTTTATCAGCTGCACATGCCATTGCACGCAAGCCACATCCTTTCCCTCACTTCTACTTTAAGGAGTTTCCGGCTGCATTCGTATATTTCCTTGTACAACCAATAGGGATCATCTTGGAACCATACATCATCCCCCACATACCTCGCAAACTCGGAGGAGGATGGCTTTGGGTTCTGATATTCACTCTTTTGACTGCCACACCTTTTTCGAAACAATATGCCTACAACTTCAGGCTGATTGACGATGGGTACAAACCTGTGGACGAATGGAATGTTGCAACTGTCTTACTGGGAAGTTTCCAAAAGCGTTGAAGATGTGTGAAAAAACTTACATGCGGTCAATTTAGCTTCAATATGAGTTATGGACATACACGCTTGAAGGAATTCAAAATTGCAGTATTTTATTCGCAAACAGTAGATTGAAAATTGTATTCAAAATATAAGTTCATATACATCCTTTTTCTTTTGGAGCTCACAATTTATAGTCCGGAAAAACACACCCTAAGCCCGCTTTTTTGGGTTAACCAAATCGGTCAAACATTTTCCAAGCCATAGCCGCATTTTTCTCTTCAACTCTTTCTTGACACTTGTTTGCTTGGTAGTTAATCAATCTTTCTCTTGGTTAATGCTTGATGCCCATTTGTTCTTTTGTTGTATTTGCTTACACTTCTCGTTGTATGGATTTCTTGACTTTTTGATTTCTTCACGCTCATTTTGGTATGGCACTGCTCGCCATCAGATGGTTTTGGAACCAGTAATGACTGCAGCATTCAGAACGTGGCACACGCAGCTCTTTCATTTACAGTGCGTCTGAGTAGGAAAGGGCAAAATGAATAAATAAGGCAAAAAAGTGAAAGTCCCTGATGAAATCAGCAATCAAGGTTATGGTAGGTGCCCAGACACAGAGCAGCTATTTTGTAAAATCAATTTCACTCGAAAACATCAACATGATAAACAGGATAACTTTCTCAATCAATTAACTTCTTTTGTGTTGACAATTTGAAGAGGACTGAGAAGTCATCAGACATCCCAAATGGGTGTTAAAGCAGTCTACTGGTGCATGGGTGTTCCAATCCTTACTTTGAGTGAAATCAATCTCTGAATCAGTTTTGATTTCATGTCCATTTATGAATAACATACATTTTAGTGAACTCTGCTTCATCGCACCCAGGCACAGAGGAGCGGTTATTGACATGGGTGCAGTTTTCCATTTCAAGTATTGAGCAAAAGATTGTAATCAGTGGTAGTACAAGAGGCAGTGTGTCAAGGTTATTACTACGCTTGAAATATTTCAATCAAAAAGCAAGACACTACGTTCCGAGTCCTTTCTTCAATCCGTTTAAAGTCTGTGTTCATTTTGGGAGTGCTTCTCCTGCAAGATTTAGTGCTGTGTTCTATCCACTCTCACATATTTCTAAACGGTCATCAGCCATCTTACTATTCAGTCAATATGCTCGTGACCTGATCTACAAAACTCAGATAAAAACTGTCCAGGTAACAATATATCGGGCGCTTTAAGGAAACATGTGATGGATAGAATATGTTTGGATCTCAAATAAGAACCGACTAAAATTGAAAATCACCATACTTATTGCCCTTGTTGAGTGTGACTCCAAGTTTCCTTTCAAGGGATCCTTCCCGAGCTCTCAACTAAAAGATGGCGAGGAAATTATTCAGGACAAAGTAGATAGAACTCGGTGCCTGCCTAAGAATTTGATGCCAAACTCATCCATGCGCTCCTTTGCGTATGAAGTCAGAGAACCTCCTTAGCATTATCTGGTGAGACGGAATTCGATATAAATACTCACCTTTTTGCTCACCTCGAAACATTTCTCATCATCATTCCATCAATATATCATTTCATCCAATCTAACATTCACAAACACATCTAACACTTACCTTTCTCGCTAGTTCTCTAACAAACTATCCTTATCCTCTCGTGACTACCCTTTCAAAAGCCACATACACCTTTAATTCCTTATCTTTACCCATCCCCCTTCACCGCAATTCTTCGATATGCATTCTCAATCCAACCAACCCTGTCGCCGTGCACGATTTTTATCAGCATTAAAGTTATCGGAGAAGCCTAACAAGGTTGTTGGTATCTCGTCCTCCAATTTTAAAGTGAGCTTTCTTGTCCTCTTGCCAAACAACTGTGATCATTTTGTTAACCTTGTTTCGTTGACTTTAGCGTGCCAAAGCCTATGAAATGGCTCATCCGAAACCGGTGGTGAAACCCACACTGGTAAGCGTTGATGTCTTTAAATCATCTCTACCGTTTCATTGATGGTTGTTAGACTCATCGCTTTTCATTCATCTTGTTCCTTTAACAGGACCTAAGTGATCCGCTCTTGGTGGCTTTGGCTCGGTCGGCCAACACCTCAACTTCGAACCGATACGCTCTTCAAAGATCCGTAAGTGGTTTTCTCAGTAACTTTTGTGATCCTTTATCTTCTTCTGATCTGATATCTATAATTTGTTTCCAATAGACAAAGGTTCCTGTGCGTGTTCCAGCCGGGTTCCCAGTCAATCAGAACTTTAGTCAACGGGTACATTGCACCTTCGATGATCTAAAGGACGAGACGGACGAAGTTGTTGCGGATGAAGATGAAGATTTGGTTCGTTTGTGTTCCACTTGATTGATTTTACAATGATATCGTTACATTTTCGTTTTTTGTGTCATTATTGATAACTGAAGCTCATCTCTGTTCTTCATCTGGTCGATTTAACAGGACCAATCCGGTCCAATGTTGGCAGCTTTGGCTAGATCGGCAAACAACGCGACATCACGCCGATACGCAAGCCAACGATCCGTAAGTGATGTTCTCACCAACCTTTTGGCATCATATATTTTGATCTGCTCTGACGTTCGTATTTCCTCCACATAGACGAAAGTTCCTATCCGTGTTCCTGCTGGTTTCCCTGTAAACCAGAATTTCAGCCAAAAGGTCATTCACCCCTTTGAGACTGTAAAGACCAAGGTGGAAGTCGCTGGACCCAGTGCGGATGACGGTGTTATTTCGGTTCGTCCTGTTCGACCTGATTGATTGTTCTATTTCCACGTTCAATGGATGATTTTCAACCACATACTTATACTTCTATGTCATTTCTCTTCAGTCTTCTAAACACGGAAAGTCAAAAGGCATTGACTTTCCGAGATCAGAGATGCACAAATTTCAAAACGATGCCGACTTGGTCAACTGGTCAATTTCTACGCCAGTCCGAGTCCCCAGAAAGCACAGACAGACACTGCCCAGAAAAGTGTCTTCAACGTTTTTGACACCGGGGCTCACTATCTCATCGTCTCCAGCCACATCGAGTGTGGTATCACCAATTGGCTCTAATTCAAAGCTGCCAACTTCCACCCCATCATCAAGACGAATTGCGTCAACTGGACCAAGCTCAACCACTCCAAGGTGGTTGTGTAAGAAACAAGCTACTCCAACTCCAAAGGAGAAGCTTTACACGATCCATGAAGCATTACTGTCTCCTTTTGGATTACCCTCTTCGGCTCCCGAGGTGGTCCATGGTGGTAAAACGCATGCTGAAGTGTTGGCTGGGTTAGAATTTTTAAACAAATTCTATAGTGAGATGTGAATGATGGCAGTAGATTTTGTTCAAGTCCAGTCTTGTTTTCAATTTGTTTTCTTGAATGTTTTTTCTCATTTTTTTATCTACAGTGTTTTTCTTATCTCTCAATACTTTTTTATCAATTTAATCTATTTGTTTCATCTAATTAAGTTCCCTCACCTTCAGTAAAGCAAAAACAAACTGCAAGTCATTTCTTGTGTTTTGAAATTTTGAAGATCCTTACACTACACTAAATATAATATTTTCTGGGCAGAAAATTAAATTATTGATACACAAAAATATTGAGAGGTCAGGAGAAGGGCAAAAAATAAATAAAATTATGCATCTTGTTCCCTGCGGTGAGAGCTTCACTCTCCATATTATTCCATATTTTTACAGTCCGTATTGATAAGTGTACTAACAATAAACCTTCATAATCATCCAATTACAACCTGTAACAAGCACTGAAATTTGCCTCATTAGTGTTTAGAGAAACTTTTGATTTCTGAAAACACCTATAACTTTGTCAAATCTGCCTCAAAACACTCGATTTTAAGTGCATTAGAATGCTGAACTCTTCCTCTCGAACTTTCATAAGATCAAGAACTATGTAGCTAGTATGGCAATCATTCTATGGATCTGTATGTACAAATGTATAAAAAAGATGATATCTTTTTTAGCAGACCAGCATGCTGTGTGGTCCTATTATGAACTATTTGGAGGACAATTCCAGCTTACCAATGCACCCAAAATCGAGCGTTTTGGACCGGAATTGAAAAAGTTATGAGTATTTTCAGAAATCAAAAGTTTCTCTAAACACTAATGAGCCAAATTTCAGTGCTTGTTACAGGTTGTAATTGGATGATTGTGAAGGTTTATTGTTAGTACACTTATCAATATGGACTGTAAAAATACGGAAAAATATGCAGAGTGAAGTTCTCAACGCAGGGAACAAGATGCATATTTTTATTCATTTTTTGCTCTCCTCCTGGCCTCTCAATATTTTTGTGTATCAATAATTTAATTTTCTGCCCAGAAAATATTATCTTTCTTGTAGTGTTAGTTCAGTAGGATTTATTTGGATTAGTCTTACAAAGCACAAAGATATCATTAAGCAAACTTTCTAAAGCTTTGAAAGATATAAAAAAATACATGGATTCTTCACAGTTGAGGTGCGTCTTGTGAGTCAAAAAGTAAAGAAAAAGTCTTCAAATGTTGAAACAAATCAATTGCTTTGAAAAATGGCAATGACTGCAGCATTCAGAAAGTGGGACACACAGCTCTTCCATTTACTGTGCGTCTCAGTAGGAAAGGGCAAAATGAGTAAGAAAGGAAACAAAGGGAAATTCATTGATGGAAACAGAAATCAAGGTGCTGATAGATGCTCAGACACAGAGAAGATATTTTGTAAGATCAATGCCACTCAATAACCCCAACAGTGTAACTTTCTCAATTAAATACCTTTTTCTTGTGTTGACAATTTGAAGAAGACTGAGAAGTCATCAGTGTGAGCACCAACCAAGGCACGACTTGGTGCGGAATTCCATGAGCTGAGAGATTGTGGACGGATGTAAGGATATGCTTGTAACGAGGGAGTGCGGGAGCAATTCCTTGTAGAATTGAGTTGAGAAGAATTGCAAAATTTTCCACAACTCAAGGTTCCCGCACAACAAGCACTCTTACACAGAACACATCTCAGCTTAATCTCACGTTTTGTGTTTTTAATTTCATTATTAAAATTT